CGATTCACTTATCTGATGTATGGCGGGTATGTGATTTACTTGTCTGATGTATGGCGGGTTTATGATTCACTTGTCTGATGTATGGCGGGTATATGATTCACTTGTCTGATGTATGGCGGATATATGATTCACTTGTCTGGTGTATAGCGGGTATATTATTCACTTGTCTGGTGTGTGGCGGGTATATAATTCACTTATCTGATGTATGGCGGGTATATGATTCACTTCTCTGATATATGACGGGTATATGATTCACTTGTCTGATATATGGCGGGTATATGATTCACTTGTCTGATGTATGACGGGTATGTGATTTACTTGTATGATGTATGGCGGGTATATGATTCACTTGTATGATGTATGGCGGGTATATGATTCACTTGTCTGATGTTTGGCGGGTATATGATAGATGTATGACACACGTGGAGCCGAATGTGCTCAGTCTTGGCATTTCTTTATGTATGCATATTTCTTCTTTTACTGATTTGACTATTTAGTGTAGTATACTTGTCAGTTCTTTTGTTATTGTTTTTTTTTTGACGATTGTCATTTTTTTTTTTAAATTAGACTTGTTTTTTGTTCCTGACTTTTTTTAATTGAAAATTGCAAGTGGCTGTGTGACCATATATCTATCAAGTGGCAATGTAATACGTTATCCTGGCGCCGGGGGTACTCATGTTGAAGTGCCATATGTATATGTACCACCAAAAGGGGTTCCAAATTCACCACTTCTGTCTGAAAAGGGATATGTTATTTTTACCATGTCTGTCTGAAAAAGGGTATCTTTTTTTTCATTATTTCTGTAGGAAAAGGGGTCTATATTTTCCAAAGACTGTCTATAGAGCTTGAGTGGTCCAACAATCAGGAGAATTAAGCTGATTATTTCTTTCTGTAACTTCATTTCGATCGTCAAAGTCCATTCCCGGGAGTCCGCCTGCTTTTCCCTTCGTACCATTTAGGCTTACTGTCTGGAAAGGGATGTCAAATATCCACAGTTTGTATCAAAAGAGGTAGGTAATTTGCGTTTATTTCTGTCTGATAAGGGGCAGGGGTTTCAAACAACCAGCTACACACCCCAGCCAGTATTTTTTGAAAGTACCCAAAATGAACCAACGTTACGTTGGGATCGATGATATCAAAAATATTATGGCATATATACGTCTATAAAAAACTTTAGTAAGACGTAACCGTATTAAAAATAAACCGTTTATTTTGGTATAGGCAATAAATCTATAGCATTTTACGTATCTTTTGTGATAATTGTTATTTTTATATTTCTTTTACTTTAGCGGAATCTTTAGAACATGTAATGTTATTGCTGGTTTGGTACATTGATAGATTATTTGTAATAGCCATGTCATTATTATTTGTCTGTTGAGCAAACTTTATTATGCGGGTTTCTATAATATTAAACAAATAATACAGCTAAATAATACCAGTATCGGTAATTGTGAAATTTGTATGACAATAACTTGAAAACAACAGTACTTGGGTACTGATTATAAATGATAAGATCATCATGTCCCAGGGTAACTGGGCCCAATTTCTCGTTATATTCTATACTGGTTCTGAGTTACTTTTTGATGTAATAATGGATCTACTGACAATATCACGTTTCAAGATGATTATTTAAATATTAAATGTTAATCAAGTCAGTATTGTGTCAACTTCGTGCATACCCGCGTATGGTTTTACTTTCAATTCATCTTGGACAATAAATTATTTAATCTTCTCTAATATCATATATCAGGACATGCTGTATTATTTACACAATCCTTCCTGTAATTGATGACGTCATATGTTTACCCGTAAACCATAGGGTCTGTCGCTGGCCCGTATCATTTGGACAGTTTTGAATTCCCCATAGTGGCAGTGAACTAATTTGTCAAGATTGGTATTCTACTCGACACTATAACACTGTTTCTGGTCTATGGTTTCATTTAAAAACATGCGTTTTACATTTGTATATGTCATGGAGACACGTCAAAGAAGTCGACCCTCGCATGCGTAAACAAGATATTGCGCCACCAACGTTAGGCAAATTTCTTCACTTTTTGCGAAACACAATTTGAGTCTTTATGCATGTATTTGTTGGTTAAAATCCGTGACTATTAATTAGTTAACAATACACAATCCTTGCTAGTTTTTGGTCGTGATCCGTGCATAGTAATCACCTTGGGTGATACCCCAGCATCGCCAGTTTTCTGTTTTTCCCAATGATAACTCAAGAACCACTGAACAGATGTCAATTGCACCTAGTACATAAATGCCCCGAGACATTACATAGACCAGATTAGTTTTTGGTTAAAATCCGTGCATATTTTTTACTTAATGTGCTTAATAATTACCCAATGTTTAGCTTTCCCACCAATAAACGTACTCGTCCATTTTAGCCAACTCGACCTGTGAGGGCTCACTTCAAATACGTCGATCGCACTGGACGTCACGTTTGGTTTAATTTTCTGATTTTGCTTATTGGTAGGCCCGGTGACATGTTACATAGATTTTTCTGAACCCGCTCTTTTTCTGATGTACTTAAGGTAGAAACACTGACATTTTTGTGTGTTTATCATTCTTCTTGTGGGTGTTTGAGCTCACATGGATTGACGATCAGATTATACAGTAATGTTGTTCTTCGTAGTCTGGTAGGAAGCAATATTTCCTACCTAGAATTCGAAAACCAAACAGTTTACACAAAATGTAACTATATTTTTTTTTCTGGTTAAAGTTATTCACAAGTAGGTACAGAAAATCTGAACATTTCATTTTTGAAATGTTGTAGAAGAATATTCAGACGATTATTATCATTATAGTGAGAAACGATCCGGAAGTTTGGCAGAAGTGACATTGACTGTGGTTAACCTTGTTGTGTCTGGTATCAGAACATGGACGAGACGTAATCGGGGGTGACTTAAAGATGGCTGACAAGGAAATGTCTACAGGTACGTTTATATCGTACATGTATAACTTTGATACTCAGATATGAATCTGATACTCGTAGATTATTTTTCTGAAAACAACCCGGAACAGGAAGTAAATTATAGGCCCATATATCTCCTATTATGGAGAGGACGGAAGGATCTACCATTAATATACTAGTAGGAAGGTAACCAGACTATATTATTGTGTGGGTCCATGCATTGATAGGGAAGTTAACTATTGTGTGGCCTAGTTTGTCTGTGATTTTTTGCTGTTGGACATATAGTAACTTGAGGGCTAAAAATCCACTTTAAAGCGCGGTGGTTGTCACGCTGCGGATGTGCGACATTTGTGTTGATAAACATTGATTTTCCCATAATCCAATGCGCTCTTCAAATGGAAATCACAAGTATGAGGTTTGACCTGGGCGCGACTTTGATGGGTGACTCCTTTGATACCTTCCAATTACGTAAAATACACTGTACCTATAGCCTGGAAACGTCTCAGTTAGTACTCGTTGATCTGCTCAACGGTCAAAGTCGCTATCTTTGTTTATATGAACCCCATATATCTCGCGCATGCGTAGCGCGATGACTACCGCCTTTTAATTTGATCACTACTATTTATTATTTATTTATTTATTTATTTATTTATTTATTTATTTATTGCTTCCCTTTTGTAACAGGGGCTCACTATGTAAACTAGGAGCTGCACCAAATAAAAAAGTACATTTCACTCAAAGACTTATGGATAAAAAACTTTTGATAGACAAAAAGAAATTAAGTTACATGAACTAAGATAACAAAATATAACAACAACAAAAAAACATCTAAAAGTAGCAACAACAACAAAAAATAAGAAAACTAAAATATAAGAAGTACACTGGAAAAATATTAAATATTATCTGTATACCTCTT